CAGAGATGAATTTGGTACAGAAGAAGGGCAAATGAGGAGCACTAAGTTTCTGAGTGACTCTATCAATCAGCTCGGTGCCACCACCAGCCTCCGATCCAGCCTAGAACTGCCACTGCTTAAGCACCTGCTGTGTACCAGGCACTGGACTAGCATTTCTCGTGCCCACGTTTTCTCATTTAATTCTCCCAACATTCTGAGAGCTGTATAGTATTGGCTCCATTTTGCTAAGGACAGCCAGGCTACAAGGGATCAAATGACTTGCTGAGTGATAGAGCTAGGATTTATGTGCCGAACTCACCCAGATCCCTCTGCATCACAGCATGTATTAAAAGTGTATCCTGCCTGCCACAGGGTAGCTCCAGTGGGAGTGGACTGTGATTATTTCCAAACAATTTCCCATATGCTCAGAAATAAGAAACTGTGTTTGGATGCCTTGCAGAGCCCAGCCCTGTGGCTTGTATCTAGGTGCCTTAATATGGCGTGGACAACACTGTAATCTAACCCTGGTCACCTCCTCTGTCTCCTTGCCCATTGCTGATCCCTTCACATTCTGTTCACAGGACGGAAAACTGCTTGCAACTTCCCAGGGTGCCTACATTTTTAGGATCTCTGCCTTCACTCTTTCTGCTTCCTCAGCTTGAAAGATTCTTCCTCATTGTCCATCGCTCAAGACTTTTTTCTTTTCCCAGGTGCCCTCAAGTCAATTCCAATTCATGGCAACCTCACGTGGGTCAGAGTAGAACTGTGGTCCCTAGGGTCTTCAGTGGCTGATTTTCCAGAAATAGATTGCCAGGGCTTTCTCCCAAGGTGTCTCTGGGTGAGTTTGAACTGGCAGACTTTCGGTCAAAGGCCAAGTACTTAACTATTTGTGCTACCGAGGGACTTCTTAAAAGAACACAGTGGGCCCTCAGTAAATGTGACTTTAATTAAGAGAGGAGACTAGCAAATACCACCACTGGTGATTAGAGGTGCTTTTCCCCTTTAAGGAACTCTGGTGGTGCAGTGGTTAAAGCCTTTGGCTGTGAACCCAAAAGGCTGGCTGTTCGAATCCACCAGCTGCAGCTGCTGCTCCATGGAAGAAAGATGTCACAGTTTCTTCTGTAAAGATTTACAGCCTTGGATACCCTGTGGGGCAGTTCCAATTTGTCCTATAGGGTTGCTATGAGTCAGAATCAATTCGATGGCAGTGGATGGGTTTCCTCGTTGAGAATATTTAACTAGAAGAAATGAATTTGCTTCCTTTTTTGTTTTGTTTTGATCATTTTTGCTTTCAGATTTTTACATTTTACTTTATATTAAAGAAAATTCCCTTTCAACATTCTAACCCAAAATCTTCATTTCCAAGGCTATGAGCTTCAGGCATAACTCTCAATAAATAAAAGAGACTTTTGAATCAATAAGTCATTAGTGAGACCATTGAGTGAAAATGCAAATGAAATTTTCCTTTGTTAAGCCTTACAGTTTCTGTAACCACTGGTAACGAAGCTTGACACCTTGGGTCCAGGGTGATGTGCCAGGCCCACCGGCTGGGATAGTCCCCAGGGAGCATCACTCTCTGGGAATAGAAGACTTTGAGAGCTGGTCACAGAGCATTTTCACAGACTGCAGAAGTAGTAGCTGTGAGATTGTCATGGTCCAGGGCTAGTGCCTTATGTGGGCAGAGCTAAGGCTTAGGGACAAGTGGACCTGAAATTGAATCCAAGCTCTGCCACTTATAGGCTGTATAACTTGGGAAACTTGGTCAACCTCTCTGAGCCCCATTTCTCCATCTGTGAAATGGGGAGACTAATAACACTACCACATTGTGGTATTATTATAATGGTCTATAGAGCTGTATGCCGTGGACTACAGAAGAACAAACAAATCTGTCCTGGAAAAAGTATAGCCAGAATGTTCCTTAGAAGCAAGAATAGCCAGACGTCTTCTCACCTACTTTGTCCATGTTGTCAGAAGGGACCAGTTTCTGGAGAAGGATATCATGTTGGGTAAAGTAGAGGGTCAGCAAAAAAGGGGAAGACCCTCAATGAGATGTATTGACCCAGGGCTACAGCAATGAGCTCAAGCCCAGCAAGGATTGTGCGGATGGTGCAGGACTGGACAGTGTTTTGTTCTGTTGTACACAGGGTGGCTGTAAGTCAGAGCTGACTTGATGACACCTAACAACAACACAGAGCCTTTTATGGAATAAAGGATTGAGTGAGATAATGTATGTAAGATTTGGGGTATCTACCGTGAACTCGATAAAGGATAACTTCATATTCATCCACCTCACCATCCTTCTCAAAGGAATTACTTAGACCTTCATCTACTCTCTCTAGTTGCTTTCATTGAAGATCTTCCCCAAAATGAGTAAGAAAAGTGCTGTCGAGTGTATCTACAGGGTCTAGCATTCTGCCTGGTGCATGACAGATGCTCAATGAATATTTCTTAAATTAATGATCAATTAATTAATGGGTGAAATGCACAGATAACTTGTGTCAATCCTAGGCCTGTTTATCCTGGGATCCATTCCTTGCCTTCTCCTGCCTTACTCTGTATCATGGGGAATGGACCTCTGCAGGTTGTGTTTGCCAGGTACTCTTGTCAGCAGGCTTCTGGCTGGATTGGCCAATGAGAAACACTGGTGAAAGGGAGGAAGGTGGAGAAAGGGAAAAGCCAAGACATTTCTCCCCTTCTATCTCAGTCACAGGAGCTCTGCTGACAGAGTGGTTAAAACATTTGGCTGCTAACCAAAAGGTTGGCAGTTTGAACCCAGCAGCCACTCTGTAGCTCTGCAGGAGAAGGTGAGGTAGTCTGCTTCTGTGAAGATTTACAGCCTTGGAAACCCAATAGGGCAGTTCCACTCTGTCTTAAAAGTTTGCTATGAGTTGAAATTGACCTGATGACAGTGGGTTTGGTTTTTTATCTCAGTCACAGGTCCTTGGGTGGTCCAAGCTAACCTAAAGGTTGGCAGTTCAAACCTACCCAGCAGAGCCATGGAAGAAAGCTCTGGTGATGTGCTTCCAGAAATATTACAGACAACAAAATCCTATAGGATAGTTCTTCTCTGTAACATGAGTCAGAATGGACTCACCAGCAATGGATTTTGTTTGTTTGATATCTCAGTCTTGGGCCCCTTCTTGAGCAGTGAGGGAGTCTCTTCCTTGGTTCCAGCTCCCACCAGAAAGCCCACTAAGCAGGAGTCCCCACCAGGTGGCCCCAGCTCCTGGGCTCTAGCCACCCCACTTCTGTCCTGTCCTCTAGCCGAGGGGAGGGAGTGTCTCCCTGTCATTGCTCATCTCTCCGAGTTACTTCCTTGTGCTCTGTTTGGCTTCTCAGTTCTTCCATCACCAGGTAACCGGTCCTCTGCATTTGCTTCCTCTGCTATGTGTGTGAGAGTGGTTTTTGTTACCCTTACATCCCTCTTTGGAAGCAGGAGTGCCTGAACTCAGACTTAGGAGATCTTCGGTCTTCCACACGCCACTGTTCACTGGCCATGTGGCCTCAGTTTCCTCATTTGTAACAAGACGCTCACAGAGTCCACCTGCTTCTCTCACAGGATCATTGTCAGACTCTAATGAGGTCATCATGTTTATAGTCACTAAGTACTTACTGAGTACCTGCCATAGGCCAGGCCCTTTTAGGGGTACAATGGATAGAGCAAGGAGGAGGACAGAGAATGTCCTTCCCTAAAGGAGGTTTCAGATGGTAGCAATGTGTGTACTCTGGAAACTACTACGTGCTCTACTAGGCTAACAGGATAAGCTAGTATGACTTTGGGGATGCCCAGAGTGCTCCAGCCCACCTGCTGGAGACCCCACTCAGCCCTCAAGTAAGGGGTCCTGTAAATGCAGGGACTGCAGTCCTACATGCAATCGCAAACCCCATCCCTCGTCCCAGCCAGCATGTTCCATTTGCATGGGTCAATTAGTCAGAGCTCACTGTAATTAATTGTGAAGGACTATCCTGATTCTTCGGCTCTGCTATTTTTTTTTAATGGTTTTTATTTGGTGTTATTTAAAGTGAGTGTGTCATTGACTAAAGCCTGCAGACCTTATTTATGCCTCGATTGTGTTTGAAAAGGTACTCTTGGCAACACCATTTTTAGTTATTGATGACCTCTTTTATAATGATTTAGTCAGCTTCACTCTAATGATGGTATTGACAACAATGTGTGGCTGACAATCTATTTGCAACGATACTCCAAGAGGCAAAGGAAAAGCAATTTATGCACGTGGAAAATAGGCAAATTTGCTGTTTTTTAGCAAGCATGAAAATGGAGCACATTAAATTCAGATTCAACACTTATTGCATCCTGAGTGTTTTCATATGGCCTCTCTTGCATTATCCCCATGAAGGTGTTTTCATCCCCATTTTACTAATGAAATAACTAATACTTAAAGAAGCAGATGACTCTCACCCAGGTAGGTGATAACAAAATCACAATCAAAGGGAGGTGGAAAAAAGAGGAAGCAGTTACATGTCTTTTCAAGGCATTGTAACTTCTCTGAGCCTCAACTTCCTTACCTGTAAATAGGGATGATAACTGAGAGCCGTACTGAGGGTTAAACAAGATAGCATGTGTAAAAGTAACATAATACCTGGCACACGGGGGACAGTGGTGGTTCCATGATAGAATTTTCACCTTCCATGCAGGAGGCCTAAGTTCAGTTCCCAGCCATTCCACCTCATGTGCAGTCACCACTCACCTGTCAGTGGAGGATCACGTGTTGCTACAATGCTGAATAGGTTTCAGTGGAGGTTCCAGACTAAGACAGACTATGAAGAAAGGCCTGACAACCTACTTCCAAACATCAGCCAATGAAAGCCCTATGGATTACAACAGTCCAATCTGAAACTAATCATGGGGATGGTGTGGGAGCAGGTCATGTTTCGTTCTATTGTGTGTGTGCTTAGCAAGAGTCAGAGGTCAACTCTATGGCAAAAACAACAGAGCATTGCAACGTCCTCATGCAGAGGCCTTTTATCAATCATCCCCTTCATTTCTGCTCTCTCTGCAGATGACCATTCCCGAGTGAGGCTGCTGGTGCTGGACGGAGACCCACACTCCGACTATATCAACGCTAACTACATTGATGTGAGTGGATGAGGCTGAACAGCAGGGATTGGCTGGGGTTTGTTTAACCACTATAGTTCAAGTTCATTATACGAGTTCTAAAGCTGCATCTTCTTTCAGGCGGGCTCAAGAAGCCTGTTTTTTCAGCTCCCAGGACAACTACCAGTCTTACTCATTCACCCGTTTATTCATTTGTATATTTGTCTGTTGGTCCATCCATTCATTCATTTGAGGGTATTCATGCAACAGAAACTTAATAGTTTCTACTGGATGCTATGGGAACCAAAAAGCTAAATATACCATGGTCTCTACTCTTGAAAACCTTAGCAGGGAGATGAGTTGTGCACATCAATAATTCCAGAGCAAACTAGAAAGTGCTAAGTGTCATAAGTTCAGATAAAAGGCTGCAGGAATTGAGAGGTGGGAAAAAATCACTTTTTCTATCAGGACTGCAAATGTGATATGTGCTATAGCTTCAGGCACAGGTAGAATTTAGAAATCAAAGAGAGTGAAGATGGTTAGGAAGAATAACACAAAAATGTAGACTTGGAGAGCAGAGAATATGTACCAGCTCAGTTTCAGGGAAGCAGACTATGGAATAGAGAATGTTAGGTTGAGGCTGGGTCATTGATAGTCTACATGGTCAGACTTAGGAAGTTTTTGGTCAAGGAAGTGACTAGTTCAGAACTGAGGTTTAGTACTGTTTCTTAGCTATCAAGAGTAATATAGATCAGAGGGAGGAGAGGAATGAAGACTGCTGAGTGAGGGGTTTAACTTAATCAGGAGCTAAGAAGTCAAGAGGTGCACATGGGAGTGAGAGTTTGCAGAAGGAGAGGAAAGAAAACATGGCTCCTGGGGGCAGATAGACATCATTGCATGACAGATGGAGCCAGACTCCTCCAAGGGCCTTGAAGAATGGCTCCAAGATCCACGGAGGTCCTTCTGATTCACAGTGTACTATAATGCACTGCGGTTGAGTTGGATCCTACTCATAGCAACCCCTATTTGGGTTTCTGAGGCAGTATCACTACGGAAGTAGATTGCCTAACCTTCTTTCCGAGGAGTGGCTGATGGGTTTGAACCTCCAGCCTTCTGGTTAGTAGTCAAATGCCTTAGGCACTAAGCCAGCAGAGCTCCCACAGTGTGTTATAGTCAAACCATAAAGCATAGTGGCATGCTTTGTGAATTCCTCATAATCTAGGCTGAGCCAGATGGGCCATTAATACACACATATTTATTGAGCCCAATTCTAGTCATTTGCTGGTTTGCCTTCAGATCCATCCCTTGCCCTCCTTTTTCTGTTTTGCATTGTAGAGGCATGTATGTGCAGGGGGTAACCCCTTAAGCTGCATTCCAGAGGCTCCCCTGCCAGCTCTGGCTGAGTTTTCCCCATGGTAGACACTAATGGAGATGGGAGAGCATTTCTTCTCTCTCTCTTACCTGGTGGCAGTTCCAGCAGGGATTGTGCATCCCCTCTGTGGCCCCAGCTTCCATCAAGCAGGTCCACCACAATGCCAGCTTCTGCCAGGTAGTCCCAGCTCTGAGCCTCTGGTAACTTCTCCCATTATTCTGCTAGTTCTAGGAATGGACTTTGCCACCTGCTACTGCCAATCCCTGGGTTACCTCACTGCCCCGTTTGGCATCTCAGCTCCACTTTAACCTGTAACCAGCTCCCTCTACTAAATTACCTCTGTGTGAAACACTTTGCTTAGTTTCTATTTCCCGAACCTGACCCTGACTAACACAGGAGCCTAGTATGTGGTCAAAAACTGAGAATGGAGTTGCATAGTCTCTGCTCACCATGGCCCATCTGAGAAAGGAGATGGCCAGTTCTTCATAGCTTGTCTCTAGCCTGGACTGAGGCACTCCCAGCATCCACCCATCCACACCTTCAGCTTTTCCCTCCTTCATCTGGTATTCATTTCACAAACACTGCACAGACCCTCCACTGTGTGCCAGAGACCAGGTCCTCAAAGGGGCACATAGTCTGCTGAGGGAGTCAGATAAGAAAAGAGACCTTCACAGAGTAGGTGTTATGGAATCATTAAAACAAAATCAAAATCTGGGTGTAGAAAATAGGGGTGAGGATGGAGTGGTCAGTGAAGGCTTCCTGGAGGAGGTGATACCCCATGCAGTTTTAGAGGATGAGTAAGAGTCAGCCAGGCAAGAAGAATTTAAAGTAACCTAAGAATTATTGGTTACCTCTCACAGGCCAGGCTTTATGCTGGCTGCTTTACCATTTACGTCAACTAACACCATGACCACAAGGTAGGTGCCATTACTACCACTCAGAATAAACTGAGGTTCATGAAATCCTCTAATTGATCCAGGATCATATCACTGGGAAGGGAGGGGAAGGTGAGGAGGAGTTCAAATCATGCTAAAATAACAATGGGAAAGCAATGATAATTGCCTCTTCTTGGTCATTCTTAGGGCCTATGATGAGTGGTTTAAAATGTGTCAGCTTATTCAGACCTCTCAATAACCCTTCAAGGAAGGTATTAGCACCCCCATTTTCCAGATGAGGAAGCTGGTGTGTAGAGTGACTGCAAAGCTTGTCCAAGGCCACGCTTGTCTGAGGATAGGAATCAGAGCTGAATGTCTCCCAGTCCAGTACTCTTTTCTCCTGCCTGCCCCCATTCCTCACCACTGCCTTGCACCCAGCACACTGTGGGGACTCAAATGAAAAAAAACAACAAACCAAACTCACTGCTGTTGAGTTGATTGCAACTCATAGCAACCCCTCCTTGGGTTTCCAAGGCAGTATCTCTATGGAAGTAGATGCCCGATTTTCCTTCTGAGGAGTGGCTGGTGAGTTTGAACGTCAGCCTTCTGGTTAGCAGTCAAATGCCTTAGGCACTATGCCACCAGACTTCAGTTGGCACATATTGGACCAGACTAAAATGGTCCTTCCCACATCTCCTCAACTTTATCTATGGCTGGGTGGAGGTGGCAGCCTGAGGGCTGAAGCCCACATGGGGTCTCCCAGCCTGAGCTGCCATATCTGGAATTTGTTCATCTTAGTAGACAGCCCTGGCGAAAGTCACTTTCCAAAATAAACACTCAATCCAAAGTTGAATGTCTGGCTTCTGCCAGAGCCAAGAAGAATTTTGGTGTTTTATGGGCAACAAATGAAGTTACCTTACATGCAATGAATCTCTACAATGTCAATACTAATAATGCCTCCCATTATTATCATGTCCTATCATTACACCATATGTGGGGGTATTTAAAGATGTGAAACCAGGAGTCAGCGGTTAAGAGCCTTGCCTAAGATCACATAGCTGCAATGTAATTCTCTGCTGACCTAGGACACAGCAAAACCTCCTCTCTCTCTTTTAAGAAATAGATTGTGCAGACAGGCCCACGAGCCTCTGCTAGACGCCATCTTAATATGTGATGTTGGAGTCTGTGCTGGACCTCAGTGGTTAGACTGAATGTCTAATGAGATCAGAGTCATGAATTAGGTCCTTGTTGGGCCTGCTGAAACCAGGTCTTTGTGCTTACTAACTTTGTGATCTTGGGTAAACTACTTACTCATTCTCACACCTGTAAAATAGGATTGTCCAATACTACCCTACAGGAGAGTGGTAACTTATGGAAAGTATCTGTGGGGTCCCCACAGGAAACAGAGGCTCACTCAAATGGGGAGTGCAGTAGAACAGGGCTAGCAGCAACAGGAAGCTCTTCCCAGTCCTAGGCCTAAAGGAAGGAGGAGAGGGTCACTGTAAGAGGAAGGCTACTGAAGGAAGCTGAAGCCTTTGGTAGAGCAACACAGCCAACTGTGGTGATCTAGCAGGGGGCACCTAGTAAAACACTTGCCTTAACCTAACTCTCCTCCTGGCCTCTGAGTTCCTATTTCTGCTCCCCATTGGCCAAACCCAACATAGAAGCCAGAAGGCACAGGAGGAGCTTTTGGTGTAGTCCATACAGTTAACCTCCCAGGGCACAAAGCAAAACATGGAAGGGAAGAGATGGGAGATGGGAGATGGGAAGACAAAGAAAAGATACCCAATACAAATGCCTCCTGAAATAGTGTTACCATGGTGGGTTGGAGGATGGGGAAATGAAATTCATTATGAAGTTACTATATACTCTAGCAAAGTCATGGAAACCTAGGGTCCCTATGGGATGTTCTGGCAAGATACATTCCAGAGGGCTAAGTTTTCACCCTTTTTGCCCTGGTCTCCAACCTAACCAAAATCCTCCCAGGTTCTCCAAAGAGCTAACTGCCTGCACTAGAATCATTTATCCACAACTGTCTTGAAATTCATTACAGTGACTACATTTGGGTAATGAGGGGGATGGGGCCGGTCCTGCGTGTGCCTCTGGAGGCCATGGTTCTGTTATCCTCAGAACCAACCTGCTGGCCGGTTTGTTTGCACAACCAAGAATGTATTGGCCACTTGAATCTGTTATAAATTACCAGCCTGGAAATAAATATCATATCTGGGTCCCCTGTAAGTAACAGATGCATGAGTGTAGAGTGAGATAAATGCATTTTGGATACAAACCTCTCTCCCATTGCTCACAGACAGATGGAGGCAGGCCCAGTGCTGGTTTGCAGGACATCTGCATGCTGTGTAAGTGGGACTTAAATGAACTGAAAGTTCTTTTAAGGTTAGGAAGTTTTCTATACCAGCTCTTGGTAAATCCCCAGGGGTACCTCACTTGAGAAATACATTTCCTTTTATCTCTAGTGCTGAGGAGTTTCATGGTTAGAATGTTTTCTCTTTAGGGACTATATGGGTTCTTGGAGGCCAGGGAGGGTCTCTTTACTCAGATCCAGTATTGGGACAGGCACACAGCATACACACGTGCATTCATTTATTTATTCAAGGCATACTTGAAGGCAGACAGCCCAGGGAGTCTTTTAGGCACTGGGGACACAGCTATGAGAAGATGTATACACCAGGGTAAACCAGAAAAAAAGTGGAAAAAACCTGATGGGGAGGTCAGGGAAGCTGACACCCCTTGGGGGAAGCAAACCACTCTGTTGACTGGGGCCAGACCAGCAGGTAGAGGGAATGGCCAATGCCAAGGCCTCTGGAAACACAATTGCTATTTCTGAAGAAGAGGGAGAAAGGTAGTGAGCAATGGAGAGAGTAGAAAGAAAACGGAATACTTGCTGATGGGATGAAATGTTCAGAACAGGGATGTTGAGATGCCCAACTAGGTTTAAGATGCTGGTTGAGCCACCACTTCCTCAGAGAACATTCTATGGCCTTCTTGACTGACTCAGATTCTCTTGGGTGCTCCACAAAGTCCCTTATCTTGCACATGGTAGCCTGAGTCCCAGTTATATATTTTCCTTTATTCTTGTAATTATCATGTTGATATTCATAAGCTGCCCAAAGACAGAGCCCATGTGCATCTCACCCATTTTTTATTTCCATTTTCTTGTACATAGTCTCAGGTGCTCAACTAATACCTGCCAATCAAATATTAAGTGACGGAGTGAACACATGAATGAACAAAATAGAGAACCCAAGTCATCTAAGTCCACTCAAAATATTCCATTGACTTGCCAGCACATGGAGTCTTCCAACCTACAGTTTTCTTCAGAGGATCTTTTGTCTTCAAGCCCATGTATTAAGTGGTATTCCAGCCTCACTTCAAAGACATGTTCATGCATGCATTCTGCTAACTAACATTTTCTCAAACCTGTACTGGATGAAGAGTGAAATGGCAAGTCCAATGGCCCAAGCACAGAAAAGCACAAGTCTGTATATGTATCTTGCAAGCAAAGACAGTGAAACCTGTGAGATCCACAACTCAATGGGGCCATCTTGTTTTTCCAGGACTCATCAGTTTTCCCAGGACTCATCAGTTTTCCACCTTTGACAGGGTGCAGTCCTACCGCTTTTCTATCACTCATTTGATTGGAAAATATTTGAGTTTTTCTTCTCTACTGGGTTTCTGCCTTATACAGGTTCAGGCTTTCACATGCTTTACTGTGTTTTCCAGTAAAACAAGCCATAGAATAGTGGTAAGACTACACCCTGTCAAAGGCAGAAAACTGACGAGACCTGGAAAAACAAAGCAGTACCATTGAGTTGCAACTCTCACAGGTTTCACTGTATGTGCATTTTCCTTCTCTGACAAGTTTCTGCCTTACCAGGTTCTGGCTTTTGTAGGTCTTACTGTATAATAATAACTAGGATTTAGTGAATTACTAAGCACTTCATATGCCTTATCTTCCTTAATCCTTGCCACTTCTGGGAAATGGCTTACGTTAGTCCCATTTTTGCCTATGAGGAAACTGTAGGTGGGAGAGGATAATTATGAATATTGTGCTATTCGCAAGCCTGGATTGGCAGCTCTCACTGTGCTTTTCCTCTTTTATTCAGGGATATCATCGGCCTCGACACTACATTGCAACGCAAGGTAAGTGTCTTTCCTCCACTTGGTGCCTCAGAGACACCAAGCAAAGAGCTCCAGGGAAGCAGGCTCTCTGAGGAGCAACTGCATTGACCCTTGTTCTCTCCTCTTCATCTGTTGCCCCAACACTCCTTGTATACCTAAGGGCCCTCGCCCCTCACTGTGGAATAAACCACAGAGGGTAAGGCTGGAGAGCCTGAAGAGGCCCTTGAGGTTGGTTGGTTGGTTGGTTGCTTGGGAGAGAAAGAAGTGACAAGTTGACCTATTAAAAGAAAAAACTCACTGCCATTGAGTCAATTCTGACTCATAGTGACCCCCTTCAGGTTTCTGAAGCAGTAAATCTTTACAGAAGTAGATTGTCCAGTCCTCCTTCCATGGAGTGGCTGGTGGGTTTGAATCACCAGCCTTCTGGTTGGCAGTCAAATCTCTTAGGCACTATGCCACAAGAGCTTCTTAGCTGACCTATAGGAGGAAGGAATATGAGTGAGACAGGTCATTAGGAAATGGTCAGGAAAGAGGGCCAGGCAGGGCAGACCCAGAGCATCAGCCTCAGGCCTGTTTGGCTAACATCTACCATGCAGAGGTGGAGCTGCGGAGGCCGACCTCCCCGATGAGGAAACACATGAGAGAGGCAGTCAGCTGCCCTAAAAAGCAGTTGGCAATATGTCATCAGCAGATTTAAAAAATGATCATACCTTCTAAGCCTCTCTGGAAAGAAACCTTCTAGATAATTATATAGAGAGACAGTGATTTATTTATAAAGATATCCTTCACAGTGTTATCTGTAATAGAAAAAAAAAAAGTGGAAAACCTGAAATGCCCAACAATTGGGAGGTTGGTTAAATAAAGTGTGGAGACTCCTTGTTATAGAATAATATGCTACTATGGAAAAAAAAAAAAAAGATAGCATGCTTAGTAAGAATGTTCAAGGGTGTGGAAGAAAGCACAGAGTAGGGGTGATGTTTGTTAGAAAAACAGTGTTCAAAATTGTATATATTTTATATCAAGCACACATACTATGTTCGGAATTTTAAAAATGATAAAGGCCCAGATCATCAAAAGAGACAATAAAACATCCAACAGCCTTTTTGCCAGGAAATTGCTTTGGGCTGTCAGATCCTATCTCCCACTCCATGTCTTGTCTTTTTTTTTTTTCTTCCTTCCTTTCAGTTCTGGCTCCAGACAAATGCCTCTTGGATTTGTCAAGCTCAAAGTCAGGCATCTCCTATTTGTGCTCTCTGCTCTGCCACCTTCCCCACCCCAATTCCCTTCTTGTCTCTTATTGGGATTTTGGAGCCCAATTTTTTATAACTCCCTTAAGCTGAACCCCATAATATAGTCCAGATAAAGTGATGGATCAGAGAGAAAGTGGGGCTGGTGGAAAGGGTCTGACCAGGATGGTTACCTTGGGAAGAGGAGATGCTGTCAACATATCCAGTGGATGCTGCAGACCCTAAAATGTTGGAATGTGGCTCTTCGATATCCATACTCTGAATTGGCCCCATTAGGATCACATGCTAGCTCGGATCTCCCAGCCTCAGTCTTGCATATCCATGTGGAGCCTTGACTAACCAGGAGGAAATAACCTTTTGTCTGCCTTCCTACACCTTTAACCTCAGACGTCTACCACCTTCTCTGTTGGCAGGTCCAATGCAGGAGACGGTGAAGGACTTTTGGAGAATGATTTGGCAGGAGAACTCTGCCAGCATCGTCATGGTCACCAACCTCGTGGAGGTGGGCAGGGTAAGCCTCTCCTGCAGTTTCAGGGGGAGAGGATGTTGGAACTGCAGGACTGAGTGTCTCTCTGTTCTGTGCATTGTGCTCAGTGCCTCCTAGTCAATATTTCCCCCTCACAGCAACCTCCATGGGATGTGGGAGAAATCATCATTCCTGTTTTACATTTGAGGACTGTCCTCTCTCTTCAAATTTCCCTCATGTCTTCCTCTACCCTCACTCTTCGTTGGTGATGTCATCTCATGTATTTTGAGGAAATTAAAGCCATCAGAGGTGAACGCCCTCATCTCCTCACCACAGAGCTATAATCTTACTTGTGTCTACACCATCTTCTCATTCTTCCCCTCTGTTATCAAGTTGAACCATAAGAGACTGCTGATGTTCTTGACCAAGAACAGTCAAGTGTCAGTTGTTTCTTCCAGCTCAACCTAGTACAATGGAAGAATTGTCTCTTCCCTTTCAAAAGCAAGCCTAGTGCTTTGAATCACAGGTTCTGCTCAAGAATTTTCTCAATGTTGCCCTGTCCCTTGAAAACTAAATCTTTTTCTCATTGCTAGATTGTTTTCAGCATACAAACATGTTCAGTACCTTCCACCTTAAAAAGACAAAACTTGCAAACAAAAATCATCCTCTTGTTCATACTTTTCTGCCAAAATGTTAAAGACTCACACCCAGGCTCTTTTTCTTCATTCTCATTCTCTTATACCCACTCCAACCTAGCAACTCCTTCCATTCCACCAAGAGTGACATTGGCAATATCACTAGCATCCTTCATATTGACAAATCCAATAGCCACTTCTGTCTCTTCATCTTACTCAACCTCTCAGCAGCATTTGACCCTTGGCTGGCTTTTCTTCTACCACTGGCCTCTAAATCTTGATATTCTTCAGAGCATGGACCTTGGTCCCCTCTCTTCTCTATCTCAACTATGTCCTATGTGGTCCTTGGCTATTTCTAAAGCTTAGAAATGACACTGCTCCTCCCACCTTGCTGTTGCCTACTTGGTAAGCTGTGCTATGTGGGTGGGTGGGTGCTGGGTGTAAAGGCAGGGTACACAAACACCAGAATTAAGAGGGCCTCTCTACGGCTAACTAAAGAGTGGGCCGGGATATTTTTGTTTTAGCAGGACCCTGATAATCCACAGAAAAAAGTCCCGGCCACCATGGTGGTGGGAAAGGGAGAATCTGAACCATCACTTATCACCCAGTAAAGGGGTGTGGACATCTCGTTCCCTAATAGTCACTTAGGTCCATTTATCCTTGAGTTTACTTATCTAGCCCACTTGCTAGTTTTACAGATGAGGAAACAGACCCAGAGAGATGGAGTGACTACCCTGAAGATACCCAGCCAGAATCTGGACTCACATTCCAGTGCTCATGGTCCCAAGACTTCATGCCCAAGTTGTAGCTACTGTAGACAATGAGCACATCTGGGATTCAAGAATCCAGAGGCAAATTTCAGCCTGTCCCACAACATATCCCACACTGAGATAGATTCCCGATGGACAGACCATGAATACAAACTGGATTCGGGGAAAAGACAGGAGAGCCATCTCTCAATGAACTCTTTCTATGTGCCAAACACTGTGCCAGCCCCTTAATGAGCATTACCTTGTTCATGTTATTTCCCTGGTAATTATTTGGGCAACCTGGGTTTGCATCCTGGCTCCATCCTTTACTAACATTTGATCTTGGGCAGTTTCCTTAGTCTCCTGTGCTTCAGAGTCCTCATCTGTAAAAGGGGGATAGCAATAATACCTACCTCCTAAGACTGAGGTGACAGATCAAAATAACATATGTAAAGTATGTTTAGAACAGTGTCTGAAACATAGTTAGGTAGCTGATGTTAGCTACCATTATTAATGGAGATCCTGGGTGATGCAAATGGTTGTTAGCATGCTAGGCTGCTAACCGAAAGGTGAGAGGTTCAAGTCCACTCAGGGGCTTCTTAGAACAAAGGCCTGGCAATCTACTTAAAAAAAAAAAAAACCCAGCCATTAAAACCCTATGGAGCACAGTTCTACTCTAATATACATGGAGTTGCAGTGAGTTTGAATCTCCTCCATGGCAACTGGTTGCTGGTTACTGTTATTAACAAGAAGGTAGGGTTCACAGATAGGAGCTCTGGTAGCATAGTGCCTAAGGCACTTGACTGCTAACCAGGAGGCTGGTGGTTCAAACCCACCAGCCACTCCTCGGAAGAAAGGTTGGGCAATCCTACTTCCGTAGTGATAACTGCCTCGGAAACCCAAGGAGGGGTCGCTAGGGGTCGGGGCCGACTCGATGGCAAATAACAACAACAACAACAGGGTTCACAGAAGGGTTTCATCACTTTCTGGAAGCAACACAACTACTGAGCGTTAGAGTCAGGCATTGAATTCACTTGACTTCAAAGCCTATGGCACTATAGCAGTGTTTCCCTAAGTGGGTTCCATGGGATGCCAGTCTGCAGGATGCTTAGTGAGAAGAGGGTTCCATGGTTAAATACGTTTGGGAAATGCTGTATGCGCTGTGCCCCTTTTGGAAAGTCCTAACATGTTAATTAGCATTAGCACATTACAGGAGCTGAGTAGTCTGAGGCAAGGTCCTGCTTAATTTTGTTTAATCCAGCATTTCCCAAACTCATTTGACCACAAAACCTTTTTTTGTTTGTTTTGTTTCCTGTTTTTACCTAACACCTATTAGCACCCAGCGGAACACACTGTGGGAAATGCCACTCTAGGCCGCGCAGCGTCCCCCGGAATGGTAATGCTTTTGTTCTTTTAAGGGGAAACCGATGATCTCTTTTCCTCCTGCGGAGTATGCCTTAGAGAGCCAAAGGTGGGGATGGCTTGTTCAAAGCATCTGTACTCACTGGCAGGGCAGAGGAGTTGCAAAGTCTTCCCTTTGGCCCAGCACCTTCCATCCTGCTCCCAATGAAGAACTTTTCTCCTCCCAGTCCCCAGTCACTGCCTCTTACTAGCGTCCCTTCCTGACCACTTCTGCTTTCACCTGCTCTCTGCTGCCCATCCTTTATTCTGATCTCTGCTCAGCTGAAACACTCAGCTGCTCCAGCCTGCTGTAGCAGAAAGAGGACTCGGCCAAAACCTAGAAAGCTGGCCATGTGACCGTGGACAAGTCCCTAAACCTCCAGCCTTCAGCATGATTTTCATCTGTAAAATGGGCATAATAATACATGCCTATCTCACCTAAGTCTATTTAATCACTTAGTGCAATAAATGGATTTGAAAATTATAAGGACCTTTGCAAAACAAGGGACTATTATTATTTCTCGTGGCTCCAGTTCCTCTAGGAGTGAGCTTGGCCTTATGCACTTTGCTGATTCCTGGCTGGCTCCGAACCCCCTTGGACTGAAATTCCACCGAAGTCACCCTGGGGTTTATTGGAATGGGAGGTCCAGGTGAGATGGCTGGTTGCACTCAGTCACCTGCTCATACACTCTCATCTCCATCCTTTATCTGTCTCTTACTTGGCCACAGGTGAAATGTGTGCGGTACTGGCCGGATGACACTGAAGTCTATGGAGACATTAAAGTCACTCTGATTGAAACAGAGCCTCTGGCAGAATACATCATACGAACCTTCACAGTCCAGAAGGTAAGCAGCTTTGTTTCCTGTTTTTACAGCCTGTCCTGTAGGCAGACTGTCCACCTGGCAGGTCAGTCTGTGTGCTCATTTGGCAGCACATAGTTTCTGAATTTCTGCTCTGCGCAGGGGTAGAGGAGTTGCAAAGTCATCCCTTTGGCCCAACACCTTCCAACCTTTTCCCAACTAAGAGCCTTTCTCCTCCCAACCCCCAATTCTCACCAATTACCAATTGCCCCTGTTGATTCTGACTCATAGCCATCCTATAGGGTTTCCAAGGCTATAATCTTTACAGAAGCAGATGGCCACGGAGTGGCTGAGGGGTTCAAACCACGGATGTTTCCATTAGCAGATGAGCACTTAACCACTGTGCCACCAGAGTTGCCAATCACCAATTACCACCTCTTAATAACATCCTTTCCTGACCATTTCTGTTTTTACCTGCTCTCTAGTTCCCATCTTTGTGTCTGATCTCTGCTCAGCTGAAAACACTCAGCTGTGCTTGTCAGCAGGAATTGATCAGCCACCAAGTCGGACAGGAGTCCTGCTCTGGTGGATCTCATACCTAGCAAAAAGGGACAAAAAGAATTCAACAGATAAATAAACAGTTGCACACTGTGATAAATGCTTTCGAGGAAGCGTGCATGGGGGAGAGACAGAAATCCACAGAAGGATGGGGTAGTAGAGAGACCTCCTGAGAAGGTGCCATTTACACAGAGAGTGGAGGAGAAGTGGGCAGTCAGCCGAAGAGTGGCAGGAACGCTGTCCCAGGCACAAGAAAAGCACCATGCTGAAGCCTGGAGAGAAAAAGAGATCGCAACATGTTCTAGGCCAGCGGGCCTTAGCCTGGGGTGATTTTGTCCCCTAGCAGACATTTGGCAATGTCTGGAGACATTTTTGATATCACAACGTTGGGGGTGGCAGCTGCTGGCATCTAGTGGACAGAGGCCAGGAACGCTTCTAAATATCCTTCAGTGCACAGGACAGCCCCCGACAATGAAGAAATATCCAGCCCAAATGCTAATCATTATGAGGTTGAGAAGCATCAATACAGGCACTAAAAGAAGGCCCAGGTGGCAGCAGCTTGATGAGCAAAGAGGACATTGCAAATAATAACTACTGTTATATTTATAGCTTAATTCTTACTGAATTATCATGGTCATGTAATTACTATTATAACAACGTTGTCATTGTTGTTAGGTGCTGTTGAGTTGGTTTTGACTCACAGTGACCTGATGAGACTTGAGTAGAACTGCCCCGTAGGGTTTCTAGGCTGGAAGCTTTACAGGAACAGATTGCCAGGGCTTTCTCCCACGGAACCACTGGGTGGGTTCAAACCAGGTGCTTTTCTAAGTGCTTTGCATAAACCAACTCATTTAGTCTTCCCAGCAACCCCATGGAGTTGGTACTATTACTATCCTCCTTTTACAGATAAAGAAACTGAGGCACGGAGAGGTTAAGTTACTTTTCCTGAGTTGCCTAGCTAGAGGTGGTAGGACCAGGTTTCGCACGTCAGCCCCTGACTCCAAGCCCATTGCCCATTCCACTACACCATAGTTGCCATTTTTAAAATTATCCCTATTAGTGAGCTAAGTGGCCACAGGCCTGAGGATGCAAAAGCACTGGGAATTTAAATGCTTTGAGAGTTGTGCCCTTGAGGTTTGGACAAGACCTGGTGAGGGCCAAAATAGAGTACACTGTTTGCTCCTGTCAACTCATCCTTCATCTCTCACCCTCCCACATACCCCTGATGCTGGGAAAGCCTGAGTCTGCTGACTAGGTGAAGCATCTGGGCCAGTGGGCTCTGTCAGTTAAAAGGCAGGAAAACAACAGATTGCTGTTTATCTACCTGGATGACCAGGCATGTAGGTGTTGTCTTAGGTCAGCTTCCTTAGAAGCAGAGCCTGAGATAAGTAGTCGGTGCACCTGATATATCAAGGGAGGACTGTCAAGAGAAATTTGTAAGAGAGGAAAAGACACAGGAGATAGAAGGAGAAGGGCTGAGAAGGACAGAGTCTTGGGTAAAGTCTAGCCTGAGCCACTGGGGGCCTCTGGAACATAACCCACACTGCAGAGGTTATGGAGCCAGACCACTGTGCCCTATGTCAATCAGTCCATGGCTTATGGATCGCCCCAGGGTTAAGGGTAACCTCCAGTTTGGGGAAGCTCCTGGCCACTGAGGGCATCTCTCTGGAGAAGAAGGCAGCTGTGAGCTGCAAGCAGCCAACCCTCCCAGCAGTCGGGGCCTGGGTGCACCAGCCCAATGAAGAGGCTGGGGGTGGGACACCAATCACATCCACTACATATGTGGTTAGTGCCTGGGAATGAGGTAGGTGACTGGAGATACGATGGCCCATCTTGGGACCCAGACCCTGAGCTGGGAAGGCTCAGAAAATTGGAGCCATTACAGTGTGATGAAGAGTTCTAGTATTTTCTTGGCTTCTCCTTTTGTTTTTCTTGTAAACAATCACAAAAGAAGATACTACCCATTGGGAAAGAGTCCTTAGAAGACCCCAGTAGCCTCTAAGGATTAACCTGACTTAGCCAGCCTCTCCTGAGGCACTCAGGCAGGCCCTCAGCAAACATTGCTTGACTTATAAGCAGAAATCAGTGCCTGAGCTGGGGACTCTGAAATAAACAGAAATCGTTGTCTGCCCTTAAAGAAAGCACAGTCCCATCAGACAGAAAGAATCCTTGACAAGTAGTGACAGGTGGTGAGGACTCTAACAAGGGCTTCCCAAGGCTGAGATGAGTTGGAAGATAGAGTGGAAAACCACAAGTATTCTTAAAGTTATTTTCTCCATCCTACTTCAGCTTGTCCATCACTGCTTTAATCCAGGCCTTTATTCGCTCCTACCTGGACTCCTGCAGTAGACTCTCAACAGGGCTCTCTGCCCCTAGTCTTGCCTCTGTCTCAGTTTGGCAGAGCCTGAGGTGAGGATTTGGTGCCCTTGAGGATGTGTTGAGGGACACATTTCTCAGGAGATGGGAAGGGAGGGCAGCCAGAGAGGGCAGAGCAGAGGAAGGAGCTGAGCAAGGGTGTGGTCTCAGCTGGAAGTCTGCTTCCAGCTGATCCCACAGGGGCTCTGGAGAGTGGACTATGCCATAGACTTGGTCCCATCTTAAGGGATCTTTTCTACCCTGACTAGCTGGTAGCACAGTGCAAAGGCATCTGACTGCAAACCAGAAGGTTGATGGTTCAAATCTACCAGCCACTCCATGGAAACAAAACTGGGCAATCTACTTCTGTAAAGATATACTGCTTTGGAAACCCAATGGGGGTCACAATGAGTCAGAATCAACTTGATGCCAGTGGGTTTTTTTGTTTTGTTTTGTTTTGTTTTTTTAGGGTAACCAACTACTCGGGTTTGCCCACGCTGTCCTGGTTTTAACACTGAATGTCCCATGTCCTGGGATACCCCACAGTCCTGGGCACACTGGGACAGCTGGTCACTCTTACGCCCATGCCAGTAATTGAATGCCAGTTGACGCCAGATGAGGTGTCTCCCAGTCATCACAAGAGAAATTCTTGAAAGAGGAGGGTAATGATGAGCCCAGTAAAGGGGATCTGAGTGGGCACCCAACCATGACCAACACACAATCCCTCAACACACTCACCCAAAGCCATCTTTAACATAGAAGCCTGCATGATCCTTCTGAAATGCCAGTCTAATGATGCACTTCTCCTTCCATACAACCATCTACCACACCTTCCCACAGCTCCGTGGTGCCTCTGAGAAAAAAATCCCAAGTCCTGACTGTGGGATCAAGGGCTTCCAGGATCCAGCCCCACCAAGCCTCCATTGTTCCACACCCCCAGTCCGGTTGTCTGTTATTGCCTGTCTCCCATGATCCTCTGGATCTGCACTGTACTGTTTGAGGTTCTCTGCATACACCATGTGAAGACCTGTCCCAGACCTTTGGCTATGCTGCTTTTCCACCTAGGACTCCTTCTTCCATCTCTTCACCTGGGCAATACTCAACAGCAGTGTATCACAATGGTTAGGAGTGCAGACTGTGGAGCCAGACAGCCAGGCTTCAGGTTCACTAGTCATATGACCTTGAGAAGGTTACATAAACCTCTCAGCCTCAGTTTCCTCAGCCATAAAGTAGAGATAATAATATGAGGATTACAGGGATTAATATATTTAAATATTCAGAAGAGTGAGTGACACTCATTAAATGCTTAACAAATGTTAGCTACTATTTTCACTATTAATATTTAAGACTCAGGTCAGGCATCACCTCCTCCAGGAAGCCTCCTCAGATTTCTCCTCGCCCCAGATCAGGTTAACTGACACTCTTTTTAGCACTCCAATAGAATTACCTGCTTATGAATCTGCCTCCCCTACTAGGCCAGAAGCTGTTCCAGGGACATGGCTGGGCACAGATAACTCTTAGTGAATATTTTTCAACTGAAAGATTGAACAATCAAACAGACTTTTTTTGTTCAATGCTCTCCACATTTCTGCAGGAAATTGCTAAGTAGAAAAAACAGGTTGGAGGGACTGCAAAAGCAAAGGTTCATTGGTATGACCTGCCCATAAAGAGTCAGAGAACTGCAATTTGGTGTATGGGGGTGTATATGGGAGGGGTGAAGAAGCTGGTGTGTGTGTGTGTGCCTGTGTGTGTGTCTTGTGTATGGGAGCAGTGGAGAGGCTGATATATGTGTGTATATGGGAGGGCTGGAGAGAAGGGGAACCAATCAGAGCTCTAGGCCTCCCTGTTACCATCGGTCAGAGAAGCTCTGCCCTTATTTGCTTCATAAAAATTTAATCAAAAGAGAATTCTGCTAAATTTTTGAAAGTTTGAAAGCCATGGGGACTATCATAAACAAGGCTGGAAAACTGCAGAACATCAGACCTCAATCACCAAAAGGCCTTGTATCCCACCATAAACAACTTGAACTTGGTTTGTAAGGTCAACATCTCTCCAAGTCTGTTCCTGAATACAAGTCCCATGAAACACTTATCAAAAGAGGGTCCACTCATTATGCTGAGCGAAATAAGTCAGTCACAAAAGGACAAATATTGTATTAGTCCGTTATTGTGAAAGTTAAGGAAAGGTTTATATATTGGAGGACATTTT